AAAATATTTATTAATAAAATAAATATCAATCACTTATTAAAAGAGATATAAATGAAGATCTTTTATATTCTATTTTTTAATGTTGATCACAATATGTCATATCAATAAATATCACATCATTTAAGTGATAATCAGTCATTGAACAATATCAAAATTTAAAGATCAACAAGTGATGGAGGAAGCCCATGGGCCAAGGGCCCAACTACTAGGGCTATGGTCAAGATGATTCAAGAAGAGTGGGCCCATGCTCAAGAAAAGCCCATCATACTTTTCAGTTGGGCTTTGACTCAAGCCCAAGTAGATTAGAAGTAGTGTAGGTTTGGGCCTTTGGGCTTGTATTGCATTTTGGGCCTTGTATTTCGGCCACTTAGACTAGGATTTTCATTTCATGGTCATGTGAATTTAGGGTTAATTTAGGTTTGCATGTGCATCTTCATTTGCATGTAATTAGTATAGCATTTGGTATGCATTTCGGCCATGTGCACACATGTACATGGTGTGACCGAAATGCAACTCAAATGGATACCAAATTACATCCAAATGAGTGCACATGGGGGGGTGGGGGTGACCGGTTGGCACCAAAATTTGAATATTTGAATTCAAATTTTGGTGCCTAAGGTTAAGTAAACCATACCATGGTTTCACTTAACCTTAGGTTAACCCAACGTGCACCCTTAACCTAATTTTGCCTATAAATTCATCCTTGGCCGAGAATTGTACCACTTTTGGAATTAATTGAATGAGAATTCTACTCTTGAAATCTCTCCTCCGAAAGTCTCCCTTAGCCTAATCTCTACCCTACTTGAGATCCTCTCCTTGTAGAGTTAGGCATCATCACTTTCTATCCGAGATAGCTAGGTTATACTTGGCTACACTTGTTTCTTCTTGGAGCTTCCAATCCTTGCCATCCTTCCAAGGATCCGAGAAGAGGTTGAAGAGCATTCCTCGAGGTTTTCTTCAAGAAGAACCTCATCAAGTGGTATCTAGAGCTTCGGTCATCAAGAGATAAGTTTCTTGTCTTTTGATTGAATTGTTTGATCCATATGCAATAATTGTGTCTATGTCATTTTTGAGTTGATTCTTTCCTAGATCTAATTCTTGCCTAAAAATTGATGGATCTAGCTTTCGGATTGCTTGAATGATTCATATATGCTTCTTGTCTTAATTTCTTTCCATGAATCATGCTCCACAAATTATGCTTCTAGGAAAATTCAGCTTGTGAACTTTTTGTTTCCTTGAGTCTTACTTGAAAATTTTTGGTCATATGTGTTTTTTGAGTCTTTTAATTTTTGAATCCATGTCTAGTGTCATGTGTAGCTCTTTGATTGTTCTTAATTCCTAGCTATGCTTGTTTCACTCTTTTTGTATTAATTGTGTTTGATTTTTTCTTCTTCTGGATTTGGCCGAATCAATTTGGTTTAGTGTGCTCCATAATTTTGGTTTGATTTGAGTTCATAAACTACTATTAGATCATTAGTAGTTTTCTTAGTTTTTAGGTTTCCTTTGATACAAAGTGTCTTCAATATTTTTGTGCCTAATTCTGTGAGTGATTTTTGAATATCATTTTGGTTGCTGAAAATTTTGTTTGGAAAATTTGAAATTCAAATTTAGTGGCTAAAACCGTGGCATGTGAATAAAAAAGAAAAGCATGTGTAAAATTTCATTTCATTTTGACCTAATTTGAGTATCATTTACATTCAAATTTTGAAACCGGTTTTAGTGCTTTGAAAAAGAAGTGACCGAGAGTGCTTGTATTCAAAATTCAAAAGAAGAAAAAGGCATCTCCTAAATAAAAAAAAATATAGAACAAAAGTTCAAACGAAAATTCAAAAGAAATTTGATAAAAAAAAATATTCAAACCTAATTTTCAAGTTAAAAGCCAAAAAGGAGATTGTATTAACTTGATTTGTGCTTCTCGGTTTGCTATTGTGTAGTTTTAGTACCATACATTTTCAGCTTGCAAATTTTGAGTGTTTTTGATTTGTCATTCAAATTCTAGAACCTATCTAGGATTTTTCCTTCTTGAACTAGCCTAATCAATTCCTTTGTCCATCTAAATTGTCTATTAATCTATTCTACTCTTGTCTTGGTTATCTCTATCTTGTCTTGGTTGTTTGTACCTAACATTGGACTCAAAGTGTGACCTAGTTTTGACCTAGTCTATTTCAATAGAAACTAGTTCTACAAGGGTCATCAAAAGAGGACTAAGATAAGGAGGAGGAAAGGTGACAAATGAGATCTTCTCGGATTGGCTACCAAATCAAACACCAAACACTTCAAGTTGCTGGAAATTTTTTTGTGGCTGCTGCACCTTACCAAGCCGTGAAGATCCAGTGGAGAATTAATTCAAATTGTATTGATTTAAAAAAAAAAAGAGTATTAGTGACGGATTTAGAGACCAATTTTCCATCACTAATTTGAAAGTTTCATTACAAAAGTGGTCTCTAATTTCATCACTAATCTTGGTGGCTGTTTTGGTGTTCCATTGAAGCCACTTGTTTACTTTTCTGTCCAGCATTTATTTCATTTGTAATTGGCCATTTTTGGAGTGTCTTGGGAGTGTCTTTGGTACACAACCATCTCTCCTTAGGAACCCTAATTTTCGTTAGTCTTGGTGGAAGTGGTCCTTGATTGGTCTTTGGTACCTCTCAAGCTTTCACCTTAGGGATCCGTTTGATAGTTTTAAATTCTTGCAATTTCATTTGTTTTAGTTCATAGTTCGTCTAGCTTATTCAACACATCAAAATCACAAAAATATTTTCATTGAAAATATTTTAGGTGAGGATTAACTACAATGGGGATTAGTAATTTTTACTTGAAGAGGCTTGGTTATTAAGTGGCTCTTAGTAGCTCACCTCCCTCCAAAGTTCAATTTGTATACTTAGTCCTCCAAGTACTTAATCTTAACCTTTAAAAATTGCTTTCAAAAAGTCTTTATCAAACAAAATCTTTCACCTATAATGGAAGAATTTTCTACTCTTCATAGTGATAGTAATTCAAGTGACTACAATGACATTTCAAAGGTAGCACATGATTTAAGATCACTAAAGATTTGGAAAGAGCAAGAGGCTAAGTATAGACTTAAAGAAAAACTTGAAAGAGAGGCCCAACTTGCTCTTTTGGAAGAGGAAATTTGTTAAAGGAAAAAGAAGAAAAATTGCACAATAGACACCGAAGTAGATATAGCTCTCAAGTTCATAGTTCAACCATAGGAGAATCCATGCATGATGATAGCCTAGCCTTAGGTGATCATTTTCAACAACCTCCTAGAAGAGTTCATAGGACCCCCAAAGCTAGGGAATCTAGGGTAGATCTCCCTTATTTTCATGGCAAAGATGATGTGGAGGGGTACCTTGATTGGGAAATGAAGGTTGAACAAATATTCACTTGCCATCAAGTGAGTGAAGAAAGAAAAGTGTCTCTAGCCACCTTGAGCTTCCAAGGCCACGCCATGTATTGGTGGACATCCCTTGTTAGGGATAGGCGCCTCCATAATGACCCTCCAATTCAATATTGGAATGAGTTAAGGAGTGCTTTGAGAAGGAGACACATTCCCTCATACTACACTAGGGAGCTTATCAATAAGCTCCAAAGACTCCATCAAAAGAACATGACTGTTGAAGAATATAGACAAACCATGGAGTTATATTTGATGAGGGCTGGCATTAGAGAGGAAGAGGACATTACCATTGCTAGATTTTTGAGTGGTCTAACTTTTGAAATAAGAGATAAGGTTGAGCTTTTACCTTATAGAGATTTGAATGACTTGGTTCAACTTTGCATCAAGGTTGAACAACAAAATTTGAGAAAAAATTTCAAAACAAGCTCATACTCATCTTCTTATTTAAAGAATGACTACAAGAGGGAGGGAAAAACTTTTGAGAAGAAAAATACTTTTGATTCCTCCAACAATCTAGACAAGGGTAAAACAAAAGAAGAAAAAGAAAAGAAAAATACCTCACACACTAGCACCAAATCTAGTGACATAAAGTGCTTGAAATGTCTTGGGAGAGGCCACATTGCTTCTCAATGTCCTAACAAAAAGGTCATGATACTAAGGGGCCAAGACATTTATAGTAGCCAAGATGAAGCTACTACTTCTCCATCTTCAAGTGAAGGTGAAGAAGAAGCAAGTGAGGGAGAGTCATGTGAGGTCACTTATCCTTACAATGGGGAGCTTCTTATGATGAGAAGGGTCCTCAATAACCAACCTAGTGATACACAAACTCAAAGAGAGAACATTTTTCACACAAGATGTAATATTTCCAACAAAGCTTGTTCTCTAATTGTGGATAGTGGATCTTGGTGCAATTTTTGTAGCACTAGGATGGTTGACAAGTTGGGCTTAACTACCACACCACATCCAAAACCTTATCAACTTCAATGACTCAATAATGATGGGGATATGGTGGTTAAACAACAAGTGAAAGTATAGTTTTCCATAGGGAACTATCAAGATAAAGTCAAATGTGATGTAGTTCCCATGGAGGCTTGTCATATTTTATTGGGTAGGCCATGGCAATTTGATAAAAAAAAAACACCATGATGGCCTAACTAATAAAATAACTTTCACTCATAAGGGTAAGAAGTTTGTGCTTCATCCTCTATTACCTTCACAAGTGATAGAAGATCAAGCACAAATGAAGACCAAACGTGAGCAAGAAAAAGGAGAAGAAAATTAAAAAAGAAAAAAAAACTTCTAAAAATTAGGAATCAGGAGGATTCTAGAGCTTAGTGTTCCCTCTCTAGAGATAGTTCAAGAAGAGAAACTTGAAACAAAAACCTTACAAACGTCTCTCTTACTTGAACCATCTTCTTATATCCTCATGTGTAGAGGAACACTTACATGCACTGCCACAAAGTCTTTGGAAACTTCTCTACCTCTTGAGGTTAAAAACCTTTTGATTGAATTTGATGATGTATTTCCTAGTGAAGGCCCTATGGGACTTCCACCTTTTAGGGGAATAGAGCATCAAATAGATCTTGTGCCTAGGGCTAGTCTACCCAATAGACCAACCTATAGGACAAATCCTCAAGAAACCAAAGAGATAGAGAAACAAGTACAAGATTTGTTGGATAAGGGTTGGATTCAAAAGAGTCTAAGCCCTTGTGCTGTACCTGTTTTATTGGTGCCAAAAAAAGATGGAAAACGGAGGATGTGTTGTGACTGTAGGGCCATCAACAACATCACCATAAAATATAGGCACCCAATTCCTAGGCTTGATGACATGCTTGATGAGTTGCATGGGTCATCCATATTTTCCAAAATAGATCTTAAAAGTGGATATCACCAAATTAGAATCAAGGAAGGTGATGAGTGGAAAACTGCTTTTAAGACTAAGTTTGGATTATATGAATGGTTAGTAATGCCATTTGGGCTTACTAATGCACCTAGCACATTCATGAGGCTCATGAATCCTGCCCTTAGGGATTGCATTGGTAGATTTGTAGTTGTTTATTTTGATGACATCTTAATCTATAGCCAAAGTCTAAGTGATCATGTGGATCACCTAAGACAAGTCTTACTTGTTCTTAGAGACAATCACTTGTTTGCCAATGTAGACAAGTGCACTTTTTGTGT